TCGGCGGTTTCGTCCAATTCGACGACGTTAAAATCGTCGAGATAGCTCTGCATGATGCACCCGAACGAGCAACATGGCACATTAGCATGCAGATCCTCAAGTATCCGCTCACTGAGGAGGTCGACCCAAACGGGAACACCTTGTGGGTAAACCGACCGTCGCGTGGATCTCGCACGACGACAGTCGTATAAAGCCGGTCGTCCCTCTTGAGAGGGACTTGCCGGTACGCGTCGCGGTGGTCCCTCTTCCACACTCGAAGAGGTGGAGCTTCCCCCAGAGCTCGCCAAATCGATCGAACTACATCAAGCGTGATGTCCAACTCTGGCAATCTCACCTTGTGCTCCACGATTATACACCGATTCACCGACGACGTCTTATAGTTGTCGCATGGCCGCCGTTTTCCGGGTTGTATAACCACACGTCGTTCGATCACGCCGTAACATGGCCATTCTGCGACCTCATCCAGCTCGTAAGGCCCATCCATCCTCCCTCTACCCACATCCTCCATCGCTTGATCCCACAAAACTTCGTCATCCTCGGTGGCTCTCTTGACGTCTCTCTGGAACCTTCGTAGTCGACTGCGACTGTGCTCTACGAAATCTACCTTACTGACAACACCTCGAGTGTCTTTCTTAGTCATCGGGGCAACATTAGCTGCCGCTTGGATATCGCCAACGAATGCCAACGCTCCTTTCTCGATGAGCTCCTTCAACAAGGTGTTCTACTGGAACACCTGCGCTTAGAGTGGGGAACAGTTCCAGCTGGCTAGCCACTTCATTCACACGATCCATGACATGTCGACGTTGGGACACTATGGCAGCTCGATGACGAGCCACAGCTTCGATCGCCTTCTCCAGCGTCGTTGGTAACTGGCTAGTTTCGACTTCAGGATATTGTATATTTCGAGCAAGGATTAAATGTGTGCGGGGAGTGCAACCAGGGGGATAATCTTCTTCGGCTCTCAATTTTGTGCGGTAAGCTCGCCCACTACGGTATTAGTGGACGTCTTCTGGACTAAGATCCTATCTCGCCACACCTTCGATCACTGGCACTTGTATTCCTCCTAATTCTATAACTTCTCATCGATCTCCAGGCTTGGCTGCTCCTTGGGTGTCCTTTCCTCCTTTAAACGACTCGCGTCTCTCCGCTCGCTCGACCACCTTCGATCGGCGGCATCTACGCCTACGTTTTCTTCGTGGAGGTTGAGTTCTAGGATCTTGCTCGTATTCCATTCGAGACCTATAAAGTAGATGGTTTAAACTCCTTTGACACACGTGGGTGCCGTGACGGCGTCACGACGACGTCGGGTCACGCGTGCGCCTCAAGCGTCTCCGCGTGACGTCAGCGAGTTACTGTGACGTCCCCTGAACTTCCCTGGGACGGATTGGCATTCCTTTCAGCGGTTGTCCTACACTCCCCGCACTCCATTTATCCATAACTCTGGTTGATGACTTCCTTTCCAAGTGGGTCAGCCTTAATGCTGACGACTTCGGCTAGTACACTATCTACTTCGCATCAAGATGGCGCTGCCGTTCCGTCCTCCTCGTTGTCGTCTCCATCTCTTTCATCCCGAGCACTGGAGAGGCTTACCGCTCTCGAAGCCATCCCGACAGTAAGTGCCACCATCCATAATCAGCTGATCAAAGCTAACATCACCACTGACCACATGGCATGTGGCACATGCTCGCTCGAGTTACATCTGTCGATGCTGAAGCCTTACTTCCCGGCGCTCGTTACGTTGGAGAGCGGTTGCTACTAGTAGCTCTTGCTGAGGAGCTTCGTCCGCCGACTCCGACCGTACCTGACAATTCCGATAGAGGTACGCCTCCGGAACTGGCACCGCTCTTCGATATGCCACGGTCCCTGACTGAGCGAGGCCTCACAGGTCCAGACGCCCGACTTTTGCCACCATCTTCGGTCCTTGATTCGCTTCTTCGTAACAAGTCCGGCCCCCTCGTTGCTCTCCTGGAATCACCTATGCATCAGTTCGTGGATATGAAGGATCGTCCTTCATTGGCTAGTATCGCTCTCAAAGATGATCGGTTATCTAAATCTGCTGACCGCGATACCTCGTACCTTCGGTTAGATCATTTCTCAGTAGCTCTTCTTTGTTGAGCTTGCACTTCGCTCCTCATGTCTCCGTTTCACTTGTCTGCCATATTCAACCACGTAGCAGCATGTCTACGTTACGTCGATATATATGGCCCGCTTACCGCCCAATGCTACGATAAAGCTCGTCGTCGCAGTGCTGCACTGGCTCTCCGCTTGGGTGTGTCTCCAGATGACCAGTCATTGCTCACCGCAGATAGTAACCTTGCGTCCGACTCTCGCAACGTTATCGATCATGCTCTAGCTCAGCGTACTAGAGGTCAAAGTAGACGTGACGTAAGGTCGACGCCTCGTACTCGAGAGAACCCGCATAGATCAGCTCCGTATTCATCTGGGTTGCGTAGAGCGCCTGATCAAGCGGGATCTGGCTCAGCAATGTCTTCCGGCAAATCTCGGGGTTCATCGGCTGCCGCACCATCTACGAAAAGCTGATATGCGCTCAGCGCAGAACGTCATCGGTCTATCATTTTCCGCCGCTCCACATGTCCTATCGGGGGGGTATCACGATGGGGTACACCCGGTTTCCTTTGTTTCTGTCTTCCATTTCATCTCTCCTTGGTGGAGTCGAGCCCGATTTTTCTCTATTCTATACTCGTGTTTTTAATTCCAATTTTCTTCTGTTTCCTATGGGCTTACCATAACAAGTCACAGAAACCTGGGGTTCATCGCAACAAAACTTCGGTCTCTGAAGCACTTTCAGTGAAAGTGCTACGCACTTC